TACCTAGCCAGGTAATGAAACATTTGCAAGAAAACAACCAAGCTCAGAGAACCTGAAGGACCCCACAGTTGAACCCTGAGATATATATATTCTCTTCTATTGGAAAAATTTCAAGCTCATTCATCTCTTCAAGGCTTTTTATATTTGTAAAGAGCTCAAACATAAAATGAACTTTGATTATTTGCATCTGAATTCAAAGAATGAGTTATCAGCATAATCTTACTATACTAATTAGACCCCTTTTAAGCAAGTTGTGTAGGCACCATATAAAATTAAGACATAACAATAGTACAATAAAAATGTAAATGAATTGTAGAAGTGCAGAAATTAAGTGCATAATTTTCTATGAGCAAAAGCTTAGAATTATGAGCTCAGAATCAGAATTTGCTCTCTGTACTTTAGATATTTTTCTTTTTCCTTTTTTCCTCTCTTCCCTTAATTCTTACTGTTTCTCACTTTTTCTTTTATCTTTTCATATCTTTATCTTTTCTCTAATTTTTTCTTTATGTTTTTGTAGTTTTTAATCCTGTATAGAATTCTTTCTTAATAAAAATGACATATATTATAAAGAATTTGCTCTCTGTAAATGGTATATGACTTGAATTGGGAACATTAGAGCAACTCATATCTGGAATGCAAGCATAGTACCTAACTTCCAAAGTAGTAGTAGTAGTAGTTTTTACTATTATTATTGTCCAGTTCCAGCCATTGTGGAAAATGTATTCAAAGGGAGGAGAGTTTATAAGGGCTGTTTGTTAGGGCTCTTCCACAGGTCAGCAGTGAAGTTCTGTTATCTAGCATGGGATCCAGCAGAAAAGTATGCCTTGCTTAAATAGGTGCTGATCACATTTCCTTTTTTTTAAATAGTAATTTTATTAAAGGTTAAAATTACAACAGTAAAAACTAATACAGACTAAAAAAAAAAAGACAGAATAAAAAAAGAGTAGAAGGTGCAGAAAAGAGATTAAAAAAGGAAAAAAGAGAAATAGAAAAGAAAGAAAAAATAAGAATATAGTAAAGAAAAAAAAGAAATATATAAAGAAGTGACTTCCCACCTTCATCACAAGAAGTATAAGCAATTTTAGTAACTTATCACCTCCTCTTAAAATAGAACAAATGATCTCTTCTTCCCATATCCCATCTCGTATCTATAAACAAATCCATAAAGCATTGTCGTTTCAGTCTTGGTTTTAGCAAAAGTCCACTAAGGGTTACCAGAAATAACAACATATCTATTTTAACCCTGATCAAATAAACCAACTTTATATTCCTTCCTTTTACTTCTAACAGTCTTAATCTTTAGTCCATTCAAATAATATTGTAGAACTTGATTTCTTTTCATTTTTTCTTTGCCCCTTCTCATGACATTCTTCAAAATA